ACAGGCGTGTCATCATTAGGGAGTATAGCTGGTCCAGGCAGTCCGGCTCGGTTGTCCTTGACAGCTAAATGTAAAGTCCAGTTCCTCAATGTTCCTCCATCTGAAGCACCACCCTCTGTCTCAGCATCAACATACAAGAACTTGTATCCAGCATCTACACGGGCGTGAGTACAGTGCGGTGGAAGGCCTTATGATTATAATAGAATGATCCAGCTTTGGGTGACTTCTTCATAGCAGCTTGCTTGCCGTCTATACTCCCAAGACAGTTGTGGTACTTCCATTTGGAACTAAACCATTTGGCAAGCTCCTTTCACTGCTTTGGGGCACCTGAGTACTGCGTCCTTGTAGACCTCAATTTTGCAGATTTTACTAACTTCAACTCTGAAGCTGTACTGTAAACTTGTATAATAATTACCAGTGGCTAGGAAGCGAAGAGTGGTTGACAGCTTGAGTCCCATCTCCAGCGGTTCTATCATGAATGTGGTCTTCTTCTCAAGACGAGGGGTTAACTTCTCCACCATCTCTTGGAACAAGTCGGGGGAAATTCTCAGGTTATTTCTGTAGCCTGTTGGATCTTCCTTATGGAGTTCTGTCAATAACTGTTCACAATGTCTGAAGTGATGTCTTCTGATCAACTATTCCCTCACCAACACTGTCCTTGCTTTCCGTTTTCTAGTCTTCTTCTTTGGCCTACTCTTGCTGCATCTTCTCCTGGTCTTCAAGAAGTAATAGAGCTGAGATATAGACACATTTTCTTTTCTGCAATAAGAACTTGTTTTCTGGTCTTCAACATCTTGTAGGTCCACAGCAAGTCTCGGAACGCATGAACGCATAGCGTGGCGTCAAGCAGGACAAAGCGGGACCAAATCACCCCAGGACTGCTTCACGCATGCGCACAGTGGTTGTGGCAATGCATGCCCATGCTGGAAAATGCGCGTCTTGCGTACCATGCCGTACACTAGACGTAAACAATACGCGTCTTGCGTACCATGCCGTACACTAGACGTAAACAATACGCGTCTTGCGTACCATGCCACACACTAGACGTAACTAATACGCCAGCAATACTTGACCTAGACGTAAATACGTCGTGCGACAGCGCGCCATTGTGTGACCATGCCATTTATGGTCACGTATTGCGTGCCAGGTGTGTACATTGTACCTTGTGCGTAACAGGACGCGAACAGTACGCAAACTAGGCTTCACGCTTTCATGCGAACCATCTAAATTACACACATTGCCACGACAAATTGCGTTGTAGTGCGGAGGCAAAATCGTGCAAGTGTCAAGGTGGCATTACGGTAACTCATTCCACTGTTTCCGGCACATTGAGGTTATGATAGCTGGCGTTATCCATAACTATGACACTTGGATTGTCCAGGTGGGGAAAGAGCTGATGTTCCATCAGGAACACCTCACGGTTCATCTCCTGGCGATAATCGACAGATGAAGATTTGGCCACAAAGACCACACCCGTCAATGAGACCAGAATCACGTGTACCAGCGTGAAGAACAATGAGGCGTTTTATTTTACCAGATGGAATGGTTGGGGCCTTGTTGCATGAACCATCTGGCGGTAGCTACATGTAATCCGTGGAGTGATTCTTGTTCACCCAGTTTTCATCAAGGCATACTATCTGAAAACCTAACTCCGGTATTCCGCGATGCTTGTGAAATATACTCACATGCATAAGCAACGCAAGCTTTTTTTATCCAAATAAGAAACAAACTCGGAACCCCAAATTGATATGCGTTTTTGGCATATAGTGAAGGCTGGTGGTGTTATCAATAATGTTTGTTGCTTTTTATAAGGTCCGAGTAAAAACACATGAAAAGAAGGAATCACCAAAACGCACCACACCAATGAACATGTGAGTATCATCCACACATTTCTCGTGAAATCAAACATGCACAAATTATCACCACCATTAGTGGGTATAAGAATGTGCACAAAAGTTGGGCCCATCACTGTTTGTTAAACATAACCACGATTTACGGTCTCCAGCATCGATACAATGCAACACAGACCACATATGACCTAAAACTTGGGCACACCCCAAAAATATGTTTTATCATGATATTCCCCAGCACACCCCAATAATATGTTTTATCATGATATTCCCCAGCACACCCCAATAATATGTTTTATCATGATATTCCCCAGCACACCCCAATAATATGTTTTATCATGATATTCCCCAGCACACCCCAATAATATGTTTTATCATGATATTCCCCAGCACCTTGCAAAGTTTCATGCTATAGTCCGGCTTGTAAAAATCAACTTCAAAATCGGACCAAAGCCACTGCACTAATATAAGTTATATGACAGGAAGATACCACCAACCTTCAGTGCCAACAGGGAAGAGATCAATGATACCATCAATGTATCTAGAACACCTCTTATCACTGCTCTCCACGAAATTGGGTTAAGGTATAAAGCAAGGAGAGATGGTCGAGCAGTGTTTCGTAAAAAGTATTCAATCTCCATCCTCAGGTCAAACTATACTCACACGCAAAAGCAACGCAAGTCGAGTACAAAGTATGCATGCATGTAATTTTCAACATTAAATACAAGAAATACCAACATGGTCAGATGGACAAAAGTTTGAGTGAAGACATTTCATTGGCTGCAAAGACTGATGACATCATTAAGTTTCGAAAGGTAAAGGACCCGTGAAGATCCGGGGTAGAATAGGTCTTCAGCAACCCATGCTTGCCACAAAAGGCCACTATACTTGTCGTAAGAAGCGACTAACGGGATCGGGTGGTTAGGCTTGCTAACATGGTTGGCACATGTCATCGGTTCCCAATTGCGCAGATCGATGCTCATGCTGTTGATCACTGGATTGTCTGGTCCAGACTCGATTATTTACAGACCTCCGCCATATAGCTGGAATATTGCTGAGTTCGGCGTACAACTAAACTCACTCACTCACTAGTCCACCACACCCAATGCAGACATGTTTTACATCATATGTGAAAAGAAATATTTTATGGCCGCTTATTTGATTACTTGTTGTCGAGGCTACTGATAGAGGTGACATCAACTGTCATTGAAGGAAACCGTATATTTTGTACCTATGTTTGGGGTGGGTAAATGGGTTTGCAAGAACAGATCTCGCTGGTGTTGACGGGTAAGGTGCCCAACCTGTCGAGTGGTAGTGACCCTTGCACGTGCACACCCCAAACATATGTTTTATCATGATGTTCCCTGGTATTTTTCAAAGATTCATGCTTTAGTTCGCCAAGTATTTATTTTCACTCCTCACTCACATTATATACTGCTCTGCTTATGATCCCATTGTCAAAGCTATCCAATCTCCCTACCACTGAGACTGTAGTTAGGCCGAACTTAGTTTAACAGATATTTCACACTTTCACATATTAACTACATATATTGTAGATATAAATGTAAAAAAACAGGGCTTTCTTTATATCCGACAGTACTTTAGGGTCACATGACCAAATAGTCAGATGTCCTAATAACGATGCCATTGACTGTACGCGTTGTTTTTTCGTTTATTTAAGCGTTTGATTAAAGATGGAATTAGCGCACTAGACTCTTTCGCTACACCTTGACCTATCTGACCTGTGACGTCATGCATTTATTTGCATATTCATGAGTGTTCATGCATATTAATTTCCCTCTCCCTATCACTTTCAAAAAGGGAGAGCCTGCGGGCCCGCCCTGTACTACTGACCTTAACTTTATTTGCTGACCATCTATGACCACAGGCCCTCGTGTCCTTGCGAGGATTAAAGATTTTATGAAATATATGCAAAAATTTGAGATGACTTCCGACTCGAAATGCTTCACAGTATAATACATTATGACAAGGCCGGACACTTCGGTGCACCCTACCCGACTGCTTTGCCGATCGCTACGCTACCATCGCATACAATCGATTAAAACTTAATATCAACATAGTCATGGATGATTGGCCTATCGAGCACCACCTACCAATTCTTTATTGTTATTTCTGCAAGTCGATTGAAACCCGATTTTGACTCTCAACTAAACGATCTTGGCACAAATGGCTGACGATATATCCGCACACAACGGGAGTGTGGTTACACCCCTTTCCTTTTATATAGTAATAGGGTTGGGTCTATACACCTATATGTCTTTCTAACGCTGTTTCTAAGCTGTTTCATCGTGGGAATACAGGGGGTGCTTAATTGAGTTCTTTGTGTACAGTTTAAGTGTTTTAAAGCTAGTATCTATCAATCTGTGATGTAGTGCTATTTATTTGACTGTCCTTGCCCTTTTCTATTATCCAAAGGGGCGGTGGGGTAACCTAAGGGCTAAAGCGTTCACTCGTCAAACCGTAGATCCGAGTTCGATTCCCCACAAGAGCACTATGTGTGAAGCCCATTTCTGGTGTCACCCACAATGATTTTGCTGGAATATTGCTAAAAGCGGCGTAAAACTAAACTCACTCACTCACTATTGTACAGCATAACTGTAACTTGATCCATCCATGATGTGGCTGATGAGATAAGGCTGTACGAGACAGCATGGACGCGAGAACACGGGCAAACTGGCAGTTCAGATGACATAATGATGTTGTATATTTGTTATATCACAGCCAAATATCTAATCATTACATTCAGAGTCAGACGGAACGGCAGTGTTATCAACTACTTTACCCTCAATGAAAAAACGTGCGGTTCATATTTCCAGGGGTTGTCACCTGTACTTGTTTAGTCCCGACATACATGGCGACGTTTACGTAAATACGCAATAAAACCAGATTTCGAGATTTGCGCGAGAATAAGACATATGCCAGATGAGAAAATATTCGAAACTCTTTTTTCAAAGTGTTCATAAAACACAGGCCGGTATCGATTTGGAATCGTGTGTGATCCACTACAAACTTGCTACATGGCCTTTTTTTTTTATCAAACACACTGGCCGATATTGCAATCGATTTGGAATCGTGTTTACCAAATGATCCACTACAAACTTGGTTGAGATCAGTGTTCCGACTACTTACCTCAGTGCTGTGGTCTGTTGGTTTGTTGATTGCCCCTGTCAGGATCCGCCCCACCCCGGAGAACTGAGATGGGGTGCAGCATGGTGTATCTGTTTGCGCTGTTGTCACGAACGTAACCACAGCTAACACAGAGATGTGGGCTTTAAACATGATTGACGATACAGCTGTTCACACGTAGGAATCACCTCATACAGCTGCTTATCAATCTTATCACTAACCGCCTGTCATTCCAACAGTAGTCACGGAACATTTTATCAGCAGACTAGAGCGAGGTCCATGTCTGCCTCGGCCACATGTCATCGGAAGTGTAAATCCCGGTAGTGTTCCATTCACTGGTGATGGGGTAGTGGGGTACCCTAGTGGGTAAATAGTTTGCTCACGTCTGGTGTCTCCCGCTATCATATGGCTGGAGTATTTGCAAAATAAAAACCCACCCCCTGACCCCCACCCCCTCTCACACACCCCAAATAATTTTTTTAAAAATGAAACTCACGTAAAAATCATACTCACCCACTGTCGGATGCCGTTCTTTCCAACAACTGGTAGATATTTATACACGCCTACATTTGATCAGGCGAATTGTGCAAACACTTTGAAAACGCAAATATGAAATATTCATCAAAGCGTTTGTTGGTTACAAACGCATACAGGCAGGAGGTAAAGGATACGCGTAAAGACTTTGACCAACCGGAAATCTGTGTCGGTTAACAGTTTTGTTTACTTGTTGAGGGTAAAATTTACACGTGAAATGTATAACAAAAATATCCTCTCGTAGAACATGCGCAACAAATAAAGGACTGAGATGATCGTCCACAACCTGACGAAGATTCGAACCGAACACGACCACAACACGGTCGAATAATGTATAAATAGTTATAATCCTGTATTTCCCAACTGCTCGTAGATTGTAACCTTACAAATACTATATAGATTATCTTTACTAGACTCAACAGTAGTCGGCTTTTGGTAAAGAAAATGTATAACCCATCTACGTGTTGTGCATTGAGAATGAATTAAACCCAAACGCATAATACCAAATGGAATTCTCAGAAAGTCTTCGCCCGAAACGATTTACAAGGGCATTAATCAACATCATACGATCAATTTTCATTGTCAAAGTTCCTACGAGTAGTGTTTTAGCTTTTTGAGTAAAACGCATTTCTTTAGTCTCAAAATATCTCTTCGTGTTGGATAACTAGCTTCACATGTAGAACGACTACCATCACACTTGGAATAGCTAGATTTGCTCTACAACAAGTTAAGGATGATAGAGTATTGGGATCCCCTCTGATCATAACGCCAGTGAATGAAGATCATCGCACACATGTTGGCATACCATGTGTTCAAAATACACACGCGTGTAGCACCGTTCATTATACTGTTTTCAAATGTATTAATAACATTTTCCGTACTAGCCACATCTATATTTATTGATAACATTGCAAAATATAAAAACAATTAATAAAATCCAGGGGGAAAACATGACTCAAGTTTAATTTTTCAAGTTGAGCTGCACGTGTTTTAATTGACATTCAGTATTCATGGCGAGATGCATATCCGACAGGAAAAGATTTGTTAGCGATTATTCAGTTACCTGTCTGTTATCTAACAGAGTACAGGCCATTAAACAGTTTAGTTTTTGATAAAGTCAAAATGCCATCTCAAAACTTAACATTCTGTGTCAGAATGATAAACAATCAATTCGCCCTCGACACCGAGGCTATTACAACAGAATGTAGCATACGCTCCTATACCTTGTTTATGGTACAAAACCAAACATTTTGCTAATTTCAGAAACTACTACCTCAAAATAGACATAAAATATATATTATTACAATAAGCTATGTTTCTAAGGAAGAGTTCAGATTAGTTTTAAGAATCGGAAGAAGTTCGGTCCCTGATTCACAAGCGAGACATCATATTGCACATTTGACACGCCCAGGACGAGTCTATTTTTGCATAGGGGTCAATAAATTAATGCTTCGTTTCTGAGTGAGTGAGTTATTATTTAACGTCACATTGGCAATATTTCAGCCATATCGTGACTCTTCGTTTCTGAACGATGATCCGTTTTATTAAGACTGCAAGCGAAGGTAGTCCTTAGATCAAGTTAAAAATGTGATGCATGTATGACAACCGCATAAACCTGTACTAACGTAATAGAGTAACGAACATCTCCGTTTCGAAGCTGAAGCTGAAGTGTCACCGGCGTCATACACGTCAACAGCATGGGATTCTCTGTCTATTTGTCCCTGATCCATACCAGTTTCCCGTCCGCCAAGCCTTTACTGCAATGCCATAGCCCGAACTGAGCAACACCAAGTTTAGGGAATCTTCAATTTCACAGGGAGTAGTATACTTAATGACAAAACGAACCCAATTCAGCTCCCAAAAATCGCGGTCAACGAGCGCGATTTTCAAACGATGTCGCCCGGCTGGTATACGCTGTTAATAGCTATCTTATTTTCAAATTTTATTTTTTTCACATTTTTAAGGGGGTAATACAGTGTTGTTGAGTACGATGAGTGATACCTCACGCACGAATACCCTGGAAAGGTAATACAAAAACGGTTCCCCTTCTTTAATATCCACCTGATTGATGTTGTACGTTAATTGAGTTCTTTGTGTACAGTTTAAGTGTTTTAAAGCTAGTATCTATCAATCTGTGATGTAGTGCTATTTATTTGACTGTCCTTGGCCTTTTCTGTTATCCAAAGGGGCAGTGGGGTAACCTAAGGGCTAAAGCGTTCACTCGTCAAACCGTAGATCCGAGTTCGATTCCCCACAAGAGCACTATGTGTGAAGCCTATTTCTGGTGTCACCCACAATGATTTTGCTGGAATATTGCTAAAAGCGGCGTAAAACTAAACTCACTCACTCACTATTGTACAGCATAACTGTAACTTGATCCATTCATGATGTGGCTGATGAGATAAGGCTGTACGAGACAGCATGGACGCAAGAACACGGGCAAACTGGCAGTTCAGATGACATAATGATGTTGTATATTTGTTATATCACAGCCAAAAATCATTACCTTCAGAGTCAGACGGAACGGTAGTGATATCAACGACTTTACCCTCAATGAAATGGTTGACCAAACGGGGTCGGTGGTGTCGCCGACTATCTCCCTCGAGTGGTATATATAAATGATATTTAGGTAGATAACACTGCAGTCTATAGATACAAACACACTTGTAAATGAAATTGAGGTATTCAAGTTGCTTTTGCCATTCCCCTATCCCGGGCCAAGACGTACTCTTGTAATGTAGAAACAATGTTCAAATTATTGAAGAGAGGGCTACAGTCGGTGCTGTCTGGTTCTTTCAAATACTACCCGAAAGGGGTCATAGATTAATATTTAGGTAGATAATATTGCAGTCTATAGATACAAACACAATTTGTTTAAAATAAATGATGTATTCAAGTTGTTTTTGCTATCCCCAACCCCGGCCAACACGACCCGAACGCTTGTGATGTAAAATGAATGTTCAAAGTCTATAGATACAAACACAAGTTTTAAAAAAACGATGTATTCAAGTTGATTTGCCATCCCCGTATCCGGGCCAATACGTACCGAACGCTTGTGATGTTGAAGCAATGTTCGAATTGTTGCAGAGTGCCCTACGTTCTGTGCTGTCTGGTTCTTTCAGATACTACCCGAAAGGGTCATAAATTGATATTCTACTAATCTTCATGACGAAATCAACCACCTGAAAGACGTATTTGTGAGCCCTAACCACTACCCACCCCAGTTAGTGAATATGACAATTGCAGCTACACTATCACCATCTACTACTAAATTTCTTCGACCTGAATCAGCCCTTATGAAGATCTCCATCCCATACATCGGCAAACTTCCCACCAGATCAGCAGGCTCCTTAAGCAACAAGCGGGCATAGATACCACCTTCTCAACTTCCGCCACCATCAACAACATCCTGCAGGCAAATGGAAGAAAATACCCACAAACCAAGGAACCCAACCCAAAAATCGTAATCTACAAAATTGACTGCAATTGTGAACACTCATACATAGGTGAAATATCTAGGCCCGTCAACAACAGAATCATGGAACATCAGACATCAACCATCAAATTGGACCAGAAGTCAGCCATATCAGACCACATAGCAACTCATCCCAATTAGGGCTTCCACGGGTACTCGAGTACTCGAGGACGAGTCGGGTGTAGCTGGACTCGAGTCCATTTTCAAGGACTCGAGGACTCGAAAAGGGGAGATAACTCGAATTATTGACGTTGACGGACTGTCTGCCATGTGCTAAGCATGAGCGGCCGTTAACGTCTAATGTTAAGAAAAAGATATAACTTTATTATCCCGGAGGAAATTCTCATACATCCAAACTGTCTCAAAATAAATATATACACAGTTCACAAAAATATACACAATAATTACATGCTCAAAACGAATGCTATTTACAAATAAAACTGACATGATATAATGAAATTAACAACATAGGTAAAGAGGCTGAATAATTCTAGTTCTAATCACATCATGGTGATTCAAAATATTTGTTGCATTCACGAATACTTGATGGTACGAAAGACTGTCGCGCTCTGTTTTGAGGGAAGGTAATCTACAGCAGCGTCCAGAAGGAAGTAGTTCAAAATGGTGAGATCAAATATGTCAACTATCAAATCTAATTTTAGCTGCTTTTTGACTATACTCGAAATACACTCCCGAAATTTTGCAAGCAGTATTAACAATTTTGAAAAGTCTGTTTTTGTTAAGATGAGACAGATCCCCATACAAACATAGAAAATTGTAGGTCAACACACTTTGAATAAAGGTTTGATAAAAAACTGTCATTACGGTTTTGTCAATACCTTGACGATAATAATGTTCAGAATCAGAAATTAGGCCATTAACAGTGGCGTCATCTGCAAATTTCACAGTAAACAAGTCATATATTGACAAGTAACAGTACGGATGAAGGAACACAGCCATGTGGATCTCCAGTAGAGGTTGAGAGAAAAGAAGATTGATAGCCATTGACACTGACATACTGAGTTCTATGTACCCTGAATTCTTTAAGCCATCTGATAATGTTTTTATTAACACCTAGATTAAATAGTGTACTCCTCACACGGTGTGGCTGTATGGTATTAGTTGTTACAAGTCTGCAGACGAGAGTAAATATTATACATCGACTGAGATTTCACTTATTAAAATGATTAGGTAACTATCTTGACAATTGATCG